TATATATATATATATATATATATATATATACGCGATATATTCGTCGTTTATTTCCTTCTTCTCTGCATAATATAGAGAACGAGAGCTAGAGAATAAATAAAGATAGAGCGAAAGACTGAGAGTGTGAAAAAGAAAAAAAGAAAGAAAGATAAGAGAGAGAGAGAGAGAGAGAGAGAGGAGGGGGGGGGGGGATAAACTTCAAACTTATTATTTCCTCACATTATGATCTAAGGCAGTCGAGTCAAAATTGCTAAACGCGGGGGAGTTGCTTGAACGCGTCGAACTTACAAAGGATCCTGTGTTCCAAGAGCTCTCCTCGTTAATTCCGTCGTACCCCGTCTAACCAGAGCTAACGAGTTCAAAGTTCTAACAACAAAGTTTCTAAAACGTTCACTAAAGCACAGCCTTGCCCATATCGCCTGAATGTGGTATGTGTGTGTGTATCTCTGCTTGTGACAGGTAACCGATACCGATCGAACATAGCGGATAGTGAAGAAAAGCGAATACTCGACGCAGAAAGAGAGAGAACAGGAGAGGAGAGAGACGGTCGTCGTCGTCGTCATTGTAGTGAAACACATGCTGGTCGGCACCGATCGCGCGACCGAACGAACGAACGAGCACGCACGCATGAATCATTTTATCCGTGATGCGAGAAGATAAAGTGAATCGTTGCGCATAATAGTAGATAGAAGACTTAAATAAAATTTTACATACAGTGTTAGTGAAAAACGACAGAAGTCGGAATTAAAATTTGTAAGAAAATGTAAAATTTATAAAACACGAAAACAAAAATAATATATTAAAATAATAATTAATATGTAATATAAAATAAAATGAGATAATAAGTAATTATTCCTGCGTTGATTGGGAATAAGGAGTAAGAGATAATCCAAGTGTTCACATCGCTGAGCAACAGCCAAGTGTTGCTTTTCACACTTGGGGAGAAATTCTGATTGGTCAAAAAACAGCCACTGTATTGGACGACTACGCATCCTCGGGAATGATACATACATCTCATCTTCTTAAGCTGGGTATACATTGAGCGAATGAACAAGGAACAAACAACGAATGCAAAATTTCGTTGTTACAATTTGGAAAATTTGAAAAATATATACGCGATAAGGTAATCCGAACAGAATGTTTCGGATTGATTTGCTCGTAAGGTTTATCGAAGAAAATTCGTACGCGTTTAGATGCAAATATATACATTCATGTTACATATTTGCTTGATTTGAAGAATTGGATTGCGATAAAAACGAAAAATGGAGAAGAATATAGGACGATGAATTAAATACAGTCAAAGGGAATTAATATTGCGAAAGTTGAAAAGAAGTTGAAAAAAGAAGATGAAGGAGGAAGGAGAAAAATCTAACGATATAGATAAGGAGAATAAGAACAAAAGTAAAGGATTGTAAGGAGAGGTGATAAATTGTCAGGGTTAGTACTAGAATTAAGTAGAAAATAAATAAAGATAAGCAAAGATAAATAATTCGATATAAAAGGCTGTGATGGATGGAGTAGAAATAATGAGAAGCATTGTGATATTTAGATATTAGATTTTCGCTAGCCAAATTCCAAACAACACATGTATGTACAAGACGTGTATGTCTTAAAGGCGTTCTTTCAATATCTTATTATCTGTAAGACGTTCTTACGATGTCTCAGGACGTCTTAATTTTATCTGGGACAGTACAAGTTGTGGATGAATGAGTATGGTTAAGATAAAAATGATCTAACCAAGCCTCTTCTTGACGTGTGAGCTGAAGTAAGTAAATAAATAAATAAATATATATATATATATATATGCATTCACTGTCTGTTTGTTGTTCATTCGCTCAGTGTGCACTTCCATCTTTACGTCACCAACCTATCTACCTATTTGTTGTTCGTTCGCTCGCACGGCAGGATTCTCCGCGGTTTACGCATTTTTCTACGAAGAAAGAGAAAAGAAGGAGAAGAAGAGAGAGAGAGAGAGAGAGAGAGAGAGAGAGAGAGAGAGAGAGAGAGAGAGAGAGAGAGNAGAGAGGACAACGACTGAGCGATCTCGACAGGTTCCCTCGTTCTATCGATTAAAAACACTAATCCACCCCTGTCACTTGCATCAGGAGTATGTATAGAGCAAGGCTGGCCCCAGGCACGTCCACGCAATCCTCTACTCATCTGCGCTTTTTCCTCTTGGACCTGGCGCTGGTGACCTTCTTCGTACCGACCGAGGCGTACATGGCGGCCCACAGCATGGTGCGGACGTTATTCCTCTCGGCGGCGTCCGCGCAACAGGCGTTATTGTCGCCGCCGTTATCGGCGTCGTCCGTAACGATCGTCGTCGCCGCGTTCACCGGCTCGTCCGAGGAGTGCTCGGGCAACGGCTCGCTACGCTCTTCCGAGTCGCTACGCTTGTCGCCGGTGGCCTCGTTTCGATCCTCCTCCCCCTCCGCCTGCCGGCGTCGACGGCGCGCCGCGGCGAGCTGCAAAGAAGATTCCTGCGATTCTCCTCTCACGGCTGCGTTACCTCGACGTGTCTCGGCGTCGTCGTCGTCGCCGCAGCCATCGTCGTCGTCGACGAGTCGCCGTTGTCGTCGCTCGGCTACTACTTCCGCCGAGACGAGAGAAGTGTCGTCCTCCGTCGTCCTCCCCGCCGGCACGCGATTCTTGCTTCCGTACAACGGACTCGCCGTCGGGCCCTCCTCGTCGTCTTCGAACATCGTCGGCACCGGAAGGTCTACAAGGAGGCTCTCGTTCAGCGCCGTCGTCCCGACGTCGTTATCCTCCTCCTCCTTGGCACGGGAGGCGCGCTCCTCCACCTCCATCAGCGGCTCAAGGTCCACCAGCTCCTTCCGGAGCGCCGTCTCGGCGTCGTCCGACAACTTCTTCTTGACGATCGAGCTCCACGACACCTCCGCGACCACCGGCTCCCGCCACTCCTCCTCGGCCATCTTGGACGAGTCGACTCCGACCTGCGACGACTGACTCGCGTGCCACTTCTTGCTCTTGCGAGGCTTCCTGCCGCGCGCGCCGTCCTGACGCAGAATCTTGCACTTGGAGGCGGCGTCCAGCTCTTCGGCCTTCTGCATCGCGTCGATGTCGATGATCTCGACGAGATCCGCGGTCGGCGAAGGAGCTCGTTTGCCCGGCAACGAGGTCCTCGAGGCGGCCCGACTCTTGGCCTTCCTCGTGGGACTCACCGGCTTGCGCTCCGCGGCGCAGACCTCCTCCAGAGGGTTGTAGATCACGGTGACCTCGGCTGCAGCCTCGCTGTCGATCACCATGACGTCCTTCCGCCTCTTGCCTGACGGCTTCGCTTGCTGTTGCTCCGTCGAACAATTCTCCACCGCGAGAGACTCCAACTCGCGTATCTCGGAGTGCTGCACGTGCTCCAGGTCGTCGTCGGAGGACAAGGCGTGCCTGCTGTGCCTGCGAGCTGCGGTGCGCGACGAGCAGCCGTCGCTCTCCGGCCTCCTGGACTTGACGTCCGGAGTGTCGCCGAGCTCGGAGCTGTGTATGTACTCCAGGTCGTCGTCCGAGATGGTGCTCTTGCTGCTCTTCCGCTGCTGGCCGCGCGACGACCCGGTGGTGACGCGCTCGCCGGCCTCCGGCCGCGTCATCTCCATGTGGATGTGCTCGATGTCGTCGTCCGACTGAGCGGCGGCAGCCACCATGTGGTACTCGATGGAGCTGAAATCGTCCAGGGGAGGAGGGTCCAACGGCGGCAGGTCGTCGTCGGTGCTCTGCAGGCCCGTTTCCGCGGCTGTCGACTCCTTCGCGCGTTCCGGCTTCTCCAGCCGGTCGTCGAGCGATCTGTCCTCGATGATGACGCTGTCCTCGTCCTCTTTCACCAGGTACTTCTCCACGCGAGCCGGCTGGTCGGCACGTTTCCGCGCGGGATCCGACGCTTTCTCGGAATCGCCGGCTCTTCTCGCGGACCTCCTCAGCGCTCCCCGGCTGACCTCATTCGGCGGCCGCGTCTCGTCAATAGTCCCGTTCCTCTCGGTGCGGTTCTCCATCAGCGTGACACTGTCGTCGTCGTAGTTGACGACGTACTTGGCCTTGGCGAAGCTCCTCTCGTCGCGCCTGCCCGACTTCTTGCAGCACCAGACGGTCTCCTTGGCCCGCGTCATCGGGCTGCTCGGGATCTCGCCTTGCTCGGCGCACAGACTGAGACTGGTCGGCACGTCGCGAAACGCCTCCTCCCTCTCGAAGTCGATCGACGAGACGTCACTGCCGCTCCCGGCCGCCGGCCCGGTGGTCAGCATCTCCGCGCAGAGGGCCCTACGCTCCCGCAGCTCGCGTATGTTCTCGTCGGGCACGCTGTCGATCGCCGGCTCGCTCGCCGAGCGCATCTCCGCGCAGATCTCCGTGAGATCGCGCAGCGTCTGGCCGCACTCAGGCGGCTCGAGGTCGCCGAGCGAGGCCGGGCCCTCCTCCGCGCACACGCTTCTAGGTGCCTCCGGCGGCGCGAGTATCTCCTCCGCGGAGTCGAACAACTCTTGACCGGAGTTGCTAACGACAGTATCCTCCTCGTCGGCCGACACGGTAATCACGGTGCCAAGAGGGTTGACGACTTTAGTTACCGGCTGACCCACCCTCTCAAATACCGATCGCCTACCTAGTAACAGAAAAAGCCGTTGGCAGGTATCAATATCGTGTGCCTCTCTCTCGCTCTCTCTCTCTCTCTCTCTCTCTCTTTCACTCTCTCACTCTCTCCCTTAAGTTCGTCTTTTCTCCCAGTTTCTTTTGCAAAGCGGATTCGCTCGCTCGAACAAACGGAAAATCATACGGAAGAACGTGCAGAGATTCTGAGAATGTTGCCGGTATTCGTAGTCGGATTTTATATTTAACGTCGTCTTGTTAAATTTATCTTCGGATGCTGTACAGCTCATTTCATTGGTTACGAAACATCTGAAGATGAACTTGATTAAGATGGTTTTAAAATCCGAATACCGGCTAGTGTATCTTAACGATGCGAGTGAATTCTATCGAACTACGGGAATCGGTGATGTGATCTCGAGGCTTCTCTTTCTAGGGTGTCTTGAGAAACGATGGGAAAAAATCTTTTGCCGTTTTCCAACGTCACGATCGCATCACGGCCGAACGTCAAGACAAACTTAACGGAGAGAGTCTGTACATCTGTTTGTAATTGTGTCGCACAACAAGTCTCTCTCTCTCTCACACACGCACGCACGCACACACGACGCACGCACGCACGCACACATACACACACACACACTTTCTCTAGCTCTCTAAGGTATATACAAAGCTAAAAAAGCCTCGAGCAAATGTGGTATATCTATATAATGATTAGTACAAAGACAGTACACACAACTCTTAAAACACATTCGTTTTCTCTCTCTTTCTCTTTTATTCAAAAATGCAAAAGAACGGGCGTACGAGAAACATGTCTCGCTCTGTTAGTGCTCATGATATTTAATATATAGTTACGGGGACAAAATGAAGATACCTGCCTCTGGCCAGTTCTGTATCCACGCAAACTTACAACGCTAGTTTCGGAAATATCTTTCGTTACGTGCGGGAGGTGAATCAAGGAAGTAAGAAAAATTCGCTCGCGCGAACATTCTTTATCTTTTCTTGTCGTTCGTTCTTTTTCCTCGCCATGTTATATACAAGGTCTCGCAGTGCGCCGCGACAATGTCATCGTGAAAATATCGTCGGCGAATATTTTGTCTCTCGAGAATCTTGTTCGTATTATGCTTCTCGATATTACTGCTCTAAAATGCGGCAACCTCGGCACACGCACATATATCATGTCAAATTTTACACGAATCATATTTATATATATATATATATTAATCCTGCAAGCTTTATGAGCTCGAAGGCGAATGAATGAGATGTTGGTTCCAATAAGTATCCGATTAAACGTACACATATTCGCAAAATTGCACACACAATGTCAAAGATTCCGTTCGATGGGATCCGACGGAGAAAAATACTGTTTTCAATCCGATCGTCAAACATGAGAAAGAATGTGAGCATACAATGCATACAATGTGGCAAAACGTGGAATGCAGGCAAACCAAAATATCGATCGTAATAATTTTTTCCCAGAGCAAAAACATAAAGAGCGAAAATTCCAATGTCAATTTTTAAATTAGAAAATTTATATTTTCGACGAATTCACGCTGGAGAAAAAAGTTCATAATCAACCCTCAAAAAATTATGAATCTTCTCTGGCGCGAACTTAGGACAAGTGGAAATTTTCCAATTTGAAAACATTTCACTTTTCACACTTCTGCTCTGGAGAAAAACATTATATGATCGTTACCCAGGTAGCATTAACGCAAATTTCAGAGGGTCAAATCACATATAAGTATGCCTTTTCCTCTTTTTTTCTCTCTCTCTCTCTCTCTTTCTCGCTCGTACACGGAAATGTTTCGATTGCAAATTGCAATCGAAAGACGATAAGTATGTAGACCAAAACTAGACTTAACTATACGCTCAACGAAATGGATCTGCATTCGTGATTGTGACAGCGCCTCCGATTGAGACGTTCCCATGAGACATCAACATAATGATGTACTTACCTGGAGCACGGTGCGACGCGATAGATATCTCGAGCATAGCTTCCGCGAGATCTTCCCTCAGTTGACTTTCGCAACTGCCGACGGCCACGTTTTCACTGTCCAGAGGATCGCCATAGGCCTCCATGAACCTCGGCGATTGCTCGTAACTGCCTATAAAGCCAATCAAATTAATACTTTTATTTTTTTTTATAATTAAAACGTTAATTCGTGAAAATTTAATCAATAATTTAATTTAATTAATAATTTAATTAATTCGCTGTATTTATGTATACATGTATGTATGTATGCATGTGTGTGTGTGTGTGCGCGCACGCGCGCACACACATACACACACGCTAGACTCCCGTATAACCCGAGTTCTTATAACGCGAATTCCTATAACGCGCTAAAGATATTGCGACTACTGTTTTCATATAACGCGATTCTTCGTACAACGCACCGGTTTCTTCTGTTTCATCGTTGTTCTATTTTTTAACGCGGTCATTCTTAATATAACGGTAACAAAATATTTTTCAATTTTTTAAATTAAAAAAAAAAACAATACATAAAATTGTATAATTATATTTTTATTAAATTTCAATGAAATAAAAGATTTTTTAGTTGGCATAACAATAATCATTTCAAACATGTTACTTTAGATTATACGCGTTATACGAGAAAAATTCTCGTACAGCACGATTTCCTATAACGCGAATTCATATAGCGCATAACGTATTAACCGCGTTAATACGGGAGTCTACTGTATATATATATATCGAAACTCGGTCTCCCTCTTCCTCTCTACCTCGATCCATACATTTTTATAACGCAGTAATCTCAGACACTCACTTCCCGATCCGTCGATAACCACCGGCATCAGAGGTCTGGAGGATGCATGTGGCATATTAACGGGCTTAGATCTCGCCGGACGTGATCCACCAGACGTAACTCCGATCTCAACCGCTTCCGCTTCAACCAGATTAACGGAGACACTGGACAACAAGTGACATCTCGTTGATGAGTCACGTTCTTCAGGAACCGGATTGCGAAATCAAGCGAGAAGTTAAAAATTACCAACCCGCTGGGTGCGTTATAAGTCTTAAACACGAACTGCGGCCCCATCCATAATCGTCTGTGCGGTCCAGCATGCGTCACGATCTCCACTTGGCTCAACCAACGGTCCTCAGCTGTGTCGAGTTCCTGGCTGTTCTTCGGCGCGAACGTAACGCTCAGCAACGGATTGGATAGAGGTAACGGTGGTGCAATTTCCGAAGAATTGGGCGTTCTCAAAAGCGGCCATTGACCCTTCGCTTCAACCTCCAACTCGATCATGGTGTCGTCGCAAACCTTTTCCTTTGGCACTCCTGAAAAAAATAATAAAATGTCAATGACAAATAAATATATATATAATAATAATAATAATAAATGATAAATGAACAAAGTAAAATGACCCGCAACTTGGAGAGAGAAAATATAACAGAGAGAGAAAGATAGATAGATAGATAGATAGAGGGGGGGGGGGGGGGAAAAATGAAATNTTATTAAATGAAAAATTGAAAAATTGATTTATAATTTTCATTTTCATCATATAATAATAATTTGTTATTAAATTATTTTATTGAATTTATTTTTTATCTTATCATTGACTTTATTGAAGTGAAAAAGGATCAATACATCTTATTATCTTATCTCAGATAATAAAAATCATGTAATTATTTTTAAATGCAACAAATCATAAAAAAGTTCAAGAGCATTATTCTTCTTTTTGTTACGCACCAGCAGCTGGTTTAGGTTCCAAATCATATTGGATCAAATTGCCGTGGCATGCCATGATGAACAAGGAATCAACCGCTCTCTTGACAACCTTGCTGCTGGACTCCCTCTGCGCGTACATCCAAGCTCTCGGTGGAGCAAAGCACACGCAAATCTTCAATGGCAAGGTCCCACCGTCGTCCGAATGTAATCGTTGTCTCTGCTGCGGTCTGCTGTGATACACGTGACAATTCTTTAATCGTATCGTTTCTCATCGTTTCTTCTTACGAAATCCGACACTCTCGATGATAATCACCTCGGTTGCGAGGAGCTGTTGACGTGATTCAAAGAAGAAGGCTGCCGTATTTGCGATAGAGGATGCAGTATCGTTGGAAGAGGGTACGGTGGAAGTCGAGGGTTCGAATACGGATACACAGATAGAGGTAGCTCCGCGTGAGACACAGGCGAATGAGACCGGGTGCCGTCGTCCGTCAGGCCGGCGCTCTTGTGGAATCTCGACAGTCTGTTGACCACGTGAGGCGTAGAGTGCGTCCTCACACCCACGAGACCGCCGTAAGGAGCGACGGGGAAAACGTGAGTGGTACCTCTTACGGTGGAAACTGCGGCCCAACGCGTATCGCTTGAGAACACCATGTCCTGCGATGCGAAAGCATGCAATGTTAAACGATGAGAGAGATGCTCGAATAAAGTGTGTACACACAGAGAAAAGGGTTTCTTTAGATTTAGTATTTCTATTTATTTGACTAAAGTTTATTTCATAGAAACAGCATGTACGAAATATTATTATTATTATATACATTAAAAATTTGATTACCTCATTCAAGAAAATTCTATTATTTAACAAGAAAAAATGCTATTATTTGAAATAATATTTTTTAGCCGAATAAAATAATATTTGGTTACAAAAATATGTAAAATGAAACGAATAATTTCTTTATAAGAAAATTATCTTTCGTTTCACAAATTTTTTTATTTAAGATAAAGATACGTATTTGTTGAAAAGTCTAACAATCATATTCATTAATCGAAACATTAGTTTCTTCGAAACATGCCAATGATAAAATTTGTTTGAACGTGATAAAATTTATTAAATTTGAAGAAATCTTTTTCTCAGTGTGCAGGATGTAATTTAATTGGTGTCACACAAATATTCTGGAGGTGTGTTTCCATCGATTAAACATTAAAAAAGTTCATATAAAGACGGGTTTAGAAACGCTTAATTTTAAGAATTATTAAAAATTTTTATGCCAATGAATTTTTATCCTTGGAAACATTTAAAGTTTATTGTTTACGCTTGACTTTTGTGCTAAATGTTGACGTTTTAAAACAGTGTATCGTAAATGAATGTGAATAAATACGTTATACTCCAAAAGTATTTAATAGAGTATGATACAGCATAGAACACAGGTTCGGAGGATGCATCGAAATAGGAGACAAATTTTTTGAACAATTATTCTAACAAAATGTTCTGTCTTATGTTTACTTGGTTTTTCTTTATTTCTGTTAGACTTTGTCTTAAATTTTAATTGTATTACTTGTTCTGCTGGATTGCTTATCAATTGTTTGATATTGTTAAACAATAAAATTTCTTCTACCTCGGAAACTAAGCGTTCCTAAACTCGTGTTTATAGATCGTTTTTAAGGATGGAAGAATATGGAGTTAAAATTTTAATTAAGATGCGGAAATATGAAGGAATCGCATAAATATTAGTTGGAAGAGAAATTTATGAATTATGTATTCTGTAGAAAAAAATAAGATTATATACATCAACATATAAACAAATGCCATAGAAGAGAATATAGTTTAAAGAATTAAGTAACGATAAAGACAAAAACGGAGAATATACAATGATGAGTTACAGTTGAATGATGAGATAAGTTAAAGGAGATATATAATGCGGAAGTTATGGAAAGAGAAAAGAAGTTGAAGAAAAGGAAAAACGAAAGAGATGAAAAAGATATGGAAAAGTAAGATTGAAGGTAAAAAGACATAGGGCGAAGGAACAGATTGTTTGTGGTTAGTGCAAGAATTAAGAAGGAAAATAAATAAGAGTAAGCTAAAATAAAAGGCTGTAATAGATAGGAATAATGAGAGAAGCACTGTTTGTACAATGACATTTGTGTATTAGATTTTAGCTAGTCAAGTAGTTACAGGAAATAGATAGATGCTCGAGGTTAAGTTCGAAATTGCAAACCATGTAAAATCCCTACTTGGCATGTAAAATGAACTGATATATGAACACTTTTTAATGTTGAGTCGATGAAAATTCTTTTACAATATATGACACCAATTAAGACACACCCTTTTTACACACACACACACGCACAGAGAGAGAGAGAGAGAGAGAGAGAGAGAGAGAGAGAGAAACAGAGTCCCACAACTCGCAACTTTAATTTTACCAAAATTCTCTGGGCAATCTCAAGACAATTTTCTTCAGTGAAAATGTCAAGGAACATCATTATTTATGGTGACGTAAATTTTTAATGTAACATCTTTGTAGCTGAGCTTCAAATGAAAATTTTGTTGAAGTATAGTATACTTGACGTTAATTGGAGAAAAGAATTTTCTCATGCATTTAATCGCCCGAAATTTGGTTTGCGGAAAGCTTCGCTTTTTCGATCGCTTAATCTCACTGATCCTGAAATTATTGATACCTTGATATTTTGCCGGGGAAATATTAATTCTAAATCGCTCCAAGTTTTTCCCCTTTCAGTAAAATTAAGGTAGCGAATGTATAAGATGCCCTGTATATACAGGGTATATCTAAATTTCACTAATAAAACTCACAAGATAGATGCTATAAAGAAAAAATAAATAGAAGAGCTTCGGTAAATATGTTCGTAAATATTTAATATTTCTTCAAACGTTTACTTTCTGAGATATAGCTTCCGCAATATCAGTTTAAACAAAAAAAAAAAAATATATATATATATTTTTTTTTTAATTCATTAAATCGTGTTTTACAAATAAATAACTAAACACATATTGTTATAAGATTGGCTGAAAATGTCTGCTTCCCTTATCAATTGACACGTAATAGAGTTCAAATACACCCTGCATAAAGCGGGGCCTACAACGAGTGTTTTAGGCCTTGAGAAATGGAGCAATCCTAGTCGGACTATGTTTGATCAATTTCTTATTGTAGACCGGGGCTAATCGAGATGAACAAGCGATAAATGAAGTGTGCGTGTACCTGTACTTTCGCAGTGGTGTCGCCACGGTGTAAAATGTACAGGTGGTGCACCGCGGCCAGTGTTGGACCGCCGGGATGCGGCTGAATTCTGAATACATGGAAATCATGTCCTCTTCTGTCCGCTGTCATTAACAACGCGCCGGTTAAGTCGAACGTCATGGCGACGATCGCGTCACTATGGGCAGTAAAATGAGCAATTACAGTCTCTATATTCGCATCGTCCAACTCTTTCTCCTCTTTCGCCGCCTGAAGATCCAATATCGTCACGACACCGGGCTGAGTCACGTCACTGCCCGTGCTGTTGACCGCCATCGGCGAGACCGAGTTCCCCGTGAGACTTGAGGCCACCGTTTCCCCGAGTCCACGGAGACCCTTGCCCAGTGACTTCGCCGCGTAAAGGACCGTCGCCGTGTAACTCTGCACACCTTCGCCCTCACAACCGCCGCTGCTCCTTCTCGCGGGTATCAGTTTCCTCTCGCTGTGAACATTACGCAACGTACGAATGCGTTGTACGCGATCTAACGCGGACAGTCTTCATCAAATGTGACACGGTACCTGTAAGCGAGCCATCGTGTTCCTAGAGCGACGGGGTTTGGATTCGGGCCAGGGCTGGCGTAGCAAGTGGTGATTGTAATAATATCCTCTAACGTTCTGGCATCGAAGACGGCAATTTTTTCTAAGAACGTCACAACCACGGACTGTCTGTTCGCTAGCACGTCGCAGACAGGATTTTTGAATTTTATGCTTTTCACTTGCTCGCTGGTTTTTAAGGAGATGAAGCTGATGTGGCAAAATTGTGGTCCCGGACCAGCCGAGTCGCAGATCGCTACCATTGGCCGTTTCGCTTCGAATGGGTCGACATGTTCGTCGTCAGTCTTTGGATTTGGTAGAATTCGAAGGGTACGAACTACGCCCTGCCGCCATGATAAGACCTCCGTTGCCTCTCCCGTCGCTGCTATCAGCCATACCTATGTTCGTAAATTGACACTCGTTGGAACAATGCATTACAGAACAAGAGATATAATATTCGTCATAACAAGATAATTCGAATGAACGAGAGAATTATCTACCTGAACACCAGTCGCGTATCCCAGCACCAATAACAATGGTGGCGTACTGGAACCTTCATTGTAGTCGGGATATAAAGCGGGGTCATTTATATCCGCGTACTCAAATCGTGCCCATGATATGGTTTCCTTATTATCGGAATTGGATACTCCAGCGTATCCCTGTGAACAGAGAGAAAACATCTGTAAGTAAAATATTGATAATATTGAAAGGAGTTGCAAGGACCATTTCTCTTGTAAGACGAAAAAGTGCACATACATGTTTGTAAGGTTTGATAAATAGTAAGTATGAAATACAGTCGACACTAAAAACCTTCGTGAATGCCAAAGAAATACACCTGTGGCACTATGTCGTTGATGATCCCAGCCACGCTGTCGATGATCGAGCGATCCACTATAGGTTGAGGTGAGACAACTTGAGCTCCTTTATGTACACCTCGCCTTGGTGATTCCGCAGACATCTTTTACTCCAAATTAATTTTATCTACCTGCAAAGAGAGAGCAGGAATCTCTTTGTGACATATCATCGTGTCATAAGGTCATAAATTTGTTTAAATGCACATCAGGCTCAATTAAATCAGAAGAAAGTCATCCATTAAAGACACTAATGATTTGGCAAATACAACAAAAACTCTTCATTGTACGTTCATAAAACAACACATTCACACAGATCTACCGAGAAGTATATTGTTGAAAACTTTACGAGCGTTCGTGGAAATTCATACAAGAATCTTCAATTTGCACGGTGGATAAACCATAATATCGCGTGCTTCATCGTGGTATTTTGCAATGGTTCCTTGCGGCAGTCGGTGTCGCAGAATTACAATTAGAATTATAATTACGGGAAAACGATTATTAGTGAATACTTAGGAATTCTCAGCGAATCTTCGTCGGGCGTTCAAGCTTTGCAAAAGAAACGACCATTATTACAACGACGAACTGAAAGACGTCTGTAGGACGAACGAACGAACGAACGTCACGGAACGAACGGAGACAAAGAAAGACGCGACTCGCGGGCTGAGCTGGAGATACGTCGAAAGGACGGTCGTTTCCGCAAAAGAAAAAAAAAAAGAAAAACGTCCCGAGTCGCCCCGGTGAGTATCTTTGGGAAACGTAGAAACAAACAACTGGCTCTCGAAGCTGGACTTCACGGGCGCACGCACCGGAGAGAGAAATCCCCTTTACTGGCAAAAGACACAGTATACCAACGCCGATTGCACACAATCCTCGCGCGCGAGCGGACAAAGAACTCTCTCGTCCGAAGTGCACTCGTCGTCGTCGAACGTCATTACGTGGACATCGCTATTACACCATTAAATCGCGCATCAACGATAACACGGCCATACGTCATCCGCTGATCGCCGTCGCCGCCGAGAGCCCGGATATCCCACGACGACGGAGCGTCGTCACGCGGTGCATTATTTAACGCGCACGAAAAGTGGGAAAGTGCATTTGGCTACAATCGTCGTCGGTGGCGACGGCGGCGATGGTGTGTGTTGTGTTGACGGCGGATGGGTTGGTGGGCGCCGCAGCGGGGATAGGAGCGGGGCCGCGGGAAGGGGAGGGGTCTATTTTGCCTGTCGTGTGTCGCGTAGAGTGTTGTTGCACAACGCGACACACACACCACACAGCTGTGCGCGGAATGTGCGCTCAGGGACGACGAGAAAGTACAGGTCGCGTCGTACTCTCGCAGGATGATGAAGACGATACGCGGTACGCACAATCGGGGACCCCTCGTGTAAACAATGACACTTGCAACGCGGAAAAACGGGATAGGAGCAAGAAAGAAAGAGAGAGAGAAGAAGAAGGGGGGGAGGGGGCAGAGAAGAAGAGGGGTCACGGTGAACAACGACGACGTATCCCGCGAATTGATAATACAGCAGTCGCATAAAACGTTTACGCAATAGCGTTAAAAAAAGCGAGCGAGCGGGAGCGGATTAGACGGGGGGTGGGCGGGTGGAACAGGCAGAGGAAAAATCGGGGGCACAAAACAGACTCGCGCTGCTTATCGCCGTGCCGTTGTTATCGACGTGCCTCTTGTGTGCGTACGTAACACGAGCGAACGGGTCATTTTGTTCATGATCGATAGAAAAGAGAGAGAGATAGGAGGAGAAAGAGGGAGAGAGCGGGAGAAGGGGGAGGGGAGAT